CTTTTTTCTCTTCTTTCTGTAAGGTTTAAAAGCAATAAATATTATTTAAAAATAAATAAATAAAAGGTCCCCCCTCTGGAGCAAATTTAAGGGGGCGTGGAGGCTACAGAATGGCCCCAGTGGCTTCCCTCCTCTGTTCTGCTGACAAAATCCTTACCACCAGAGCAACACAACTCATGATTTTCTGTGCAAGAGCATAGATAACTATGTGCTGTAATGAATTATACCAGAGTGTCATGGATGCCATGATAAAGGTCCCATTTTAAAGAGAAATTAATGAATGAAGCCAATGGAACCAAATCAAAGGAACCCAAGTCGCTCATGACATCTGCATTACTTTCAAATAAGGTACATGATCCAGTGACTGTTTTAGTAATAAGATGGTCATTCTAATTTCTATTTGTGTCTTGCTTCTTCTGAGCAATTATATGTTTTGTAACTGAGGTTTGTAGTCCAGTTTCACAGAACATAGATACATAAATATTTAGCTGTCCTTAAGCCATTAATTCCACCCCCCACATGAGATGCCATGAAATACTGCAAATAGACACTTAACAGCTTATTAAACCGGAAATAACCCCACTTAGGCAAATCTACCTTAATAATAATAATAATAATAAGAAGAAGAAGAAGAAGAAGAAGAAGAAGTTGCTTTTCTCACTGAATGAGCCAAAGTGACTTTTATCAAAAGCAATTAAAAACAACCAAGTAAAAAACCTAAAAACATAGCTATACAAGTAAAAGACACAACTAATGGATCATCACTCACTAAAAGAGGCCACCAGGCCACCCTTCAAATTACGGGCCAAAAGCCTGAGGAAATGCTATTTGGCATTCTGTATGACTGAGATGGGTGATAAAGGGAGAAGAAAGGTGGGTAATAAGGAAAGCACTGATGGTAGGGTGACAATTAGGGTAAAATATCCACCGTGGTAACTGCCTCATGAAGAAAACAAAAAGAAGAACCAAGGGAGGAAGAAAAAGAAGGGAGAAATTAGCGAAACCCCCTGGTATATTTATGAAGTAAAGCTTCAGTAAAGTGATAAAGAGAGAGGGTCTTTTTTGTCAGTGGAGGTCATTCCCTCTAACCCTCTGAAGGAAAGAGGATTTTATAATGATAAAAGCAGAACAGAATACGCTCTATGCACTTTAATGATTTCTTTGCTCCTCACAGATAGGAACTGAAACTCTGTGCTATTAGCCACAAATGGCATTTTGAAATGACTTTTTTTTTTTGGGCAAACCCAAAAGACATTGCTAAGATTTACATGTTCAAATATATGCTGACCTTTTTTTCCCTCTTTCTTTTAGTTCATTTGTCATCAGTATGTAATTGAATCAATATATTTCCTGATCAACCCAAAGATTGAATAAGGTCATGGGAAGCCATGTGTGGACATTAAAAATCATTATTTTACTCAGAATGAGCAGAGATGGCATAGACCATTCAGAGTTCCAAATGAAATTCTATTAGATTCTATTACACTTTTACAATTATAGAGACGTTCCAATATTACAAGGGGAAATGAAGTCATAATAAAAAAGCCCAGAGGTGTATTACAAAGAAATAGGCATACTATTTTTCTAGTTAAAAACTTGATGAAGGGAGCTCTACTACTTTCCAGTTGCTGAGATTTGACCTTGTTCTTTTTTTTACACCCTCCCCCCACCAAGACTCAGCTTTCTTTCTGTGCTTACCCTTTTTACCTTTCTTTCATGGCAGATTTAAAACAGTACAACATTAACAACAAAGGATAGTTAAGTGCTTACTCTCCAGACCATACTGACCTGTTGAGGTGGGGGTTGAGTTGCAGCTAAGCAATAGAGAACTGATCATTGAATTGCTCTGTTTTGTGGTCAAAATTACTGAGGCGTCCGGAATGAACTACCGTATTTTTCGCTCTATAACACGTACCCGACCATAACACGCACGTAGTTTTTAGAGGAGGAAAATCCGTAGGCATGCCACCCGTAGGCACTCCCTCCATAACACGCACAGACATTTCCCCTTACTTTTTAGGAGGAAAAAAGTGAGTGTTATGGTGCAAAAAATACGGTATATGCTTCTTTTCAGGAGACTTGAGGGAGGCTATAGGTTTGGAGTCATGATTGAGATGTCTGGCGAAGAGATGCCTGCTGCAATGTAGATGCATTCAATCTACAGCTGGGCAAGGACTATATTCCAATGTAAAATGCACACACACACACACACACACACACACGATGGACACAGGCCCCAAGATTAGCCCTGTATCTGTGCATTTTTAAATATTCCAATTTGCACCTGAGTCATTTTGTGCACGTTCTGATTTGTAGTTTGACCGCTGAGCTTCTCTTTATAAAATGAATGTCTGAGTTTCCCCATTCAATATAACTTTTTTTTTCTCTTTTGGCCAAAGTGGATGAAATGGACAGGCACAAAGTAGATTAACCCAGCTAAATTGTGGATTCACTTTCCTTCATTATCTGTTATAGGGCAGAGTTTCTCTCTCTCTCTTACATGAAAATAATTAAGAAGTGGCCAAGTGATGGTGTGCTCTTACCTGCACATTTAACAAAAAATACTTTGTAGCTTCACAATAGACTTTCTTTCTGGTGGTTGTATCCTGTGATGGGCCTTTACTCCAATAGGATTTACAATGTAAAGCAGTGCCTGTAGAGCCCTAATGAGCTGTGTTGTTGTTGTTGTTGTTGTTGTTGTTGTTGTTGTTGTTGTTGTTAAAGCAGAGGAACAGGATCTTTTCTTCCAACCTCCTCCCCCCACAAATCCTTAAATGAAGTTTCTAAGTTATGTTAGTTCTGTAAATCCCTTCTCAAAATCTTCCTTAGAAAACTACATTGTTTTCAATGTCACATGGAAGGGGGAACAAGCTTGTTTTCTCCTGCTCTAAAGAGTAGCACTCAAACCAAGGACTTCAAGTTATAAGAAAGGCGATTCCTACTAAACTTTCTAACAGAGCTGTTCAACAGTGGAATGGACTCCCTTGGGAGGTTGTGGAATCTCCTTCCTTGGAGGTTTTTAAGCAGAGGTTGGATGCACATCTGCCATGGGTACTTTAGCTGAGATTCCTGCATTGCAAGGGGTTGGACTGGATGACCCTTGGGGTCCCTTCCAGCTCTGCAATTCTATGATTCCTTACAAGTGAAACTGTGAACATTTTGTTTTTAAAAAATACATTTTAAATTAAATACTTCCAAGTGTATACATTTAAAAATGAGTCTCAGGGAAAGTCTGCAATGGAATTGGTGAGATCACTGGAGGTCAGGTTGCACCTGGGGTTAAAGATGCTGTGAGGAAACAAAATATTACCTCCAAGGAACTGTGAGGAAAAACAAACACTAGAGTACTTCCTGGATAAATGAACCTATAGCAGATACTACAGATGTGGATGTAGTGAGATTTTAAACTCACTTGCATAATCACTCCTGATTAGAATTGAGACATGGCAAGACCTGTGCAAACAGATTCTCACTGCAATTCTCATCCACTGCACCCCACTTCCCAAGACCCCCCAAACTTAACTTGTGGCAGACAGGTGCAACAGCAGCAGGATCTTAGTCCCCTGTAGAGTGGCTTTGCCCACAAAATAATGGGACTGGGATGCCTAAGTCCTAGAATACCCCACAGAAAAATGAGCTGGAGGTTGTTGACTTTCCGTCAGAAATGAGATACTCTAATTCAGTTTCCTGCTGGGAGTTCAGAGAGTTGTAGTCCCAGTCCCATGGAAGAGTGAGAGGGCTTTATGCAGTTTCAAAATGTCTCACTGGCTCCCTCTGAAATTTGAGTAAGAAAAGGCTTATTAATAGCATACTTTATGAGAAAGCTTTTTTAAAAAAGATCAAAACCATTCTCACAGATAACAGATGCTATTCATGTAACAATGAAAAAGGATTCACTCCCAAACATTAAGGACTCCAATAGTTCCCAGAGAAGTTCTTAAAATAAACTATTTACTGGAAGGTTAAGAGCAGTTTATTGACTTACACTTATGGTCAATTTTAGTGCAATGTTTGTGTTTATCCAGTTGCCAGCCAAAGCGTGTCTTCATTTCTTCCCTCTACAGAATGATAATATTAATATTAAAATAAATAATAATAATAATAATAATAATAATAATAATAATAATAATATAATATTGCTTCCATGTGTCCTTCTCACATTTTTCAACTGATTTTTGCATAATTTGTTATTCTTTGTACGCCAACAGCATACTTCTCCCTGCACAAATTCTTTTCTGATAAATGATACTCATTTTGTGAAAATTACTAACAATGACATTTCAAAGCTATCCTGGTAGACTCAGTGGTGAACCTTCACTTGGTACAGCATGCCACATTAGACACCAGAAAACTCCCTCCCCCCTCTGCTGACTTAAGGCCAAGTGAAATATGCTGCCAGGATACCTGCGATTGCTCTTCTGGCATTTAAAAAAAGAGAAAAGAATTGCAGGATTGGGAAGCAGCAGTACCAAAGGGAGGGGATGGTTAACTCTTGATCCCCTATTTCTTTCCTGCCCACAGCACCTCTACCCAGATTCTGCCTCTACCCAGATTCTGAGATCAATGATGGAGGCCTTTCTTCAAGGGCCTCCACCAGGCGAGGGGGGTCGATCGAAGATGGCGGCAGGCCAGGCAGTCAGCTCCAGAGCTCCACAAATTTTAACTGAGTTTTAATTGATTTTATCTCGTTTTAACTCGTTTTAGACTAAGTATTTTATTTTTCTTAATCACATCTGTTTCTTTTAACCTGGAGCTGAGAGCAGAAGAATGCTGAGCTGTGAGCAGAGAAAGTGCCAGATGAGTCAGCGCTTTGCAGATAAGGAATAATAGACGACACCATCAATCTTGACCGCCGGAGCAGGGAGAATCAGTGGGAGTCCAGAGTCAGAACCCGAAGAGAAACTCCCTGTTTAAGGACACCGAATCACCGGCTACACAAGGAACTAGAAGGCAAGCGTTGGTTAAAATTACTCCCGAGCACTGGATCACCTCTGCTATAGCTGTAGCCAGGAGACAGGGCCTGAGCGGAGTCTTAATACTTGGGGAAGGGAAAGAGCCAAGCCGAAGTTTTGAAGCCAGGCCAGGGGAGGACCTGAGGACCAGAGGAGATCATAGAAGTCCTCAGGTGCCTGAACGGGCAGCTGAACCCGACGGGCTTGAGGACCCAGCCTCCCTCTCGAGCAGTCTTCTCCAGCTGCACTTCGTCATCCCAATCAGCGAGAGTGGAAAGCTGCGAGGCTGCTAGGCTTCGGGTTGCTGAAACTACACTCTGAAAGGTGAAGAAGAAGTTCTCAGCAGAGAGGGGTGAAGAGAGAGGAGACGGGAGTTTAAATTAAACAAAACAAAAGCCTGGAAGTTCACTAAGCGGTGAGACCTTCTGTTCCAAGTTAAGCCTGCTTGCACTTTTCCTGGAGACCGAATAGGGGAGGGATGGGGGACTGGACCAAGATTTAAATTGAGAGCCCTTCCCTTGAACAATCTATCGTGAAGAGGGCTGAGCTGAGATGATCTACTTGAGCCCTCACCAGGGGTAAATCTTTATCCGAATTTGACTCTTATTATAGCTCTTGTATGAACTGCGGAGAAATCCCTGGAGTTAAATACTCAGCTGTATAGCCAAATTATTGACTGTGGTAGGAAGTCCCCTTCTTCTCTCCTGTATTATCTACATTATTTAGCTCATATCTACTGTGGCTATGGGCAAGAGGAAACGCCTCAGAGAAGCAGAGGAATTACTGCTCCTCCCTAGCCCCAAGCTACAAGCTAAAGAAAGAAGAGACCAGTCAAATTCTCAAGCAGCAGTTACCACATACAATAGATTTCTTCCACTAAGTGACTTGGATGTAGCTAATAACATTCCCAAGTCCCAAAATACCACCATACACAATTGTAATCTAACGAGCACTCCCGTCAAGGGTGGGCCCAATGTGGATGGGAAAAGATCCGGGATAAAGAAAACCAGCTGGGAAATGAGTCCTCCCATTTACAACTAGTCATTAGGACACTGGACTGCATATTTAAAAAGATAGACTTTCTGACGTGCTCAATTTCCAAGCTAACGGAAAAAGTGATGGATATGGACGCCAAAATTGCCCTCAATAATAACTACCAGAGGGGACCTCCAGTAATAGCCCCACCAAACTCTGGGGCAAAGGGGATGAGAAAATATAAACTAAACGATCTCATGTGTAAGCAAAATCTAACATTGCAACCTAAGAAGGTGTGCCTAACGATAAGGTCTGAGATATGGGACTGGTCAAGCTTGGAAGGAGCTAAAACTGCCCTAAGTAAAATCCTGAGAATAAGCATAGTTCATATTGATCTTCATGCTTTACTTCCGCTAACTCAATCAAATGGCCCTTACAAAGTTATTTTAGCCTTCCGTTCGCTGAGACTACCCTTATTAATAATAAGACAAAAATGGAAATTTATAAAAACAAAAATCATACCTACAAGGGTTTTTGCGGACAGCATAGTAAAACCACTACTTGTGGAAAAAGAGAAAGAGATATTAGATTCAGGAACAAGCTCTACAAAATCGCCAGACAAAGAGATGTTGCCTTCCCCACAGAGAACGGAGGAGATGGCCTGCAGTCCACAACCAGGAACGGACTTGGGTGGCTCCAGAATATCTAATGATGAAAGCGCCCTTATGAATTCATTTGATGAATTACAGTCACAAGAAAAAGAAAAATAATAAATAAATTAGATAAACTAAGAGAGAAGATGTCTCAGGCCAAAAGCAAAATAGGAAACAAAGAAATTCAAACCAACAGGGCCATTGGAGGCTCAGTGGACCTTCTCAAATTTAGCCCACAGCCTCAAAATAGGTCCATAAAATCCAAGGCAACGATACAGACAATTGTCTCGCCACCCCTATTAGTTAATCTGGAACCAGCCCTTCCTGCATCAGCCGGAATGGTTACACCTACTAAAGAACAGCAAAATGTAAACAAAATTTCGACACATTCCTCAATGCCTGACCTGGAGTCATCATTATCGGACGGAGAATCTCAAGCTGTTGATTTAGAAGCTCAAACCGCTATCGATATGGACTGGACAGAAGACCCCTTGGGCCATATAAATAAGATGATACACCCACGGAAGGGAAATCTAATAATAGTTAAAACTTGTACCGACTTAATCTCTGCCCCCCTAGGTGATAAGCTCTCGGATAAAACAAGGGATTTCAGAGAGGAGACCAGATCAAACCAGGACACTACCCCTATAGGATCGGGTGAGCAAAGCAGAATTACAAATAGCTCAAGAGGTACATCTGTGCCAAAAGGAGAGAAGTCATCTACTATTAGTCAAAGGAAAATTACTGACTTCTTTAAATTTGACAACCCACCAAGATCAGCGTTCCCCCCTTCCCCATTGTGACTACCCAAACCTCAGTCAAATCCTCCCCGTTCTCCCTTTTAAGCTGGAACATAGCAGGTTGGAAGGGGAAAAATCTGACCCGGACTTTGTAAAACTAATAAACTCACACCAAGTAATTCTCTTGCAGGAAACATGGGAAGAGGGGAGAGTAGATATTAATGGTTTTGATGTTACATCATTACCGGCATGCCCGTCTACTAAAGGAGGCCGGCCCAGTGGAGGATTAGTTATAGCAATTTCCTTGAAAATACAGGCAAAACTCACGCTTGTAAATGCTTCCATCTTTGCAATTACAGCCCTGATTACGGGGAAAAACTTTGAACTTGTTATAACAAATGTTTATCTTCCTCCTGGAGGCAATATTGCAGACTTACACAATAAATGGGGAATCTTGGAGGAACATCTCACTCATTGTCACTCCAAATACCCCAATATACCCAATGTTATAGCAGGGGACTTCAATGCTCGCATTGCAACAAACTGGGAGTCTTTAATCAAAGCCAAATGGTGGATAACCCCAGAATTCATTAATGACCTCTCCCTCCATAATCAAAGACTTTCTAAAGACAAAAGGGTAAATGAAGCAGGAACCCTTCTTTACCAATTGGTACTACGTCTAAACTTAGTGATTCTAAACGGGAACTGCCCGCCAGACGTACCGGGTGAGTTTACACACATAAGCTCCTCTGCAAACAGTGTCCTGGATTATATGTTAGTATCTCATGACATATTCCCCAAATTTTCCCATTTTAAAGTCGAAAACTTTCAACTGAGCGACCACTTACCGTTGGTCGCCACAATGACTATAGACTGGACCCCAGATGGAGACAAGCACCCAACACATCTGACTACGAACTCAGCATTGCAAATCAAAAGTGTAAAATGGTCCGAACTACAGGCCCAAAAATACTCAGCATATTTCCAACAAGGGCTAAAACAAGCATATTCAGGCTTAATCGAGAATTATTATGATTATGACCAAACTCTAAGATTATTCTCGAATCTGTCAGAAGATCTAACGTCTTTTTTCTCTGTCCCGACGCATAAAATAAATAGAACACAAAGGAAGATAGGTGCCTTGTGGTTCAATAGTGCTTGTAAACAGGCTAGACAACTTCTTGGTAACATCTACAAAGAGTATAAAGCCTCCGGGGCAACGGTCTTGCCAAAAGAATACTTCCAAGCAAAATCAGCCTACAAGCAAATTCAAAAGGGAGCCAGACAGGAATGGCAAGTGAATCAATGGCGAACAATCATAGAAGCCTCATCATCACGGAACTCCAGACAATTTTGGCTCCTGGTAAATAAAAGAACTAAAAGATACCCTTTGACTATTATTCCTGCCCCGGTTTGGGAATCCTACTTAAAAAACTACTTTGCCACAACTGACTGTATTGCTAACACAAGAGATGATTTTCAAGATCAGCTTCCCCTCTGGCCCCCCACCGACCCGGAAGACATCCATGACTTGATCGTTAAACTCAAAACAGGGAAAGCGCCTGGGCCAGACCTGATCCCGGCAGAAGCTATAAAATACCACGCGGACTGGTGGGCTAAAGTTCTGGCGACCATCTTCGATGCCGTTAACAACTCTGGAAAGATCCCGGAAGTATGGAAGGACGCTGTTATCGTTCCAATCCACAAAAAGGGCTCACCAGATGACCCGGGGAATTACAGAAATATCAGTCTACTCTCAATAGTGGGGAAACTGTATGCCCGCTTCTTGCTGAACAGACTTAACCAATGTGCCGAAGAGAAAAATTAATTGGGCCCGAACAAGCTGGATTCCGCCCAAAACAGTCAACAATTAATCATATTCTAATTTTACAGCATCTTGCCTGGAAATATTCCACCCCAAAGGGTGGCCAACTCTGTGTGGCATTCATTGACCTAAAGGCAGCATTCGATAGTATCCCCAGGAACATCCTCTGGGAAAAACTCTCCCGCTGGGGCATCGATAGAAGGCTTCTCTGGCTAATAATCAAACTCCATGAGAACTCAGCGGCTAGAGTGAGACTCACCCCGGAGGGTGATCTCACCAATCCAATTCCCATTAACAGAGGTGTCCGACAGGGTTGTATATTGGCTCCATTCCTGTTCAACTTATTCATAAGCGATATGAGGACTCCCTAATAGAGGCTCAAGAAAGGATTCATGCACCCCGCCTAGCACTTTATCGCTGCCCTTTGTTACTGTATGCGGATGACGCAGTCATCCTTTCCTTTTCTAGAGTAGGTCTCAGGAGGGCCTTAAAAATTTTTGGATCGTACTGTAACGCAAATTCCCTTACAATTAATTATGGAAAATCTAAGATTCTAATTTTCTCAAAGAGCCGGAAACTCCATAATTGGAGAATTGATGGGAGAGTCATCGAACAAGTCTATAGATTCCAATACTTGGGAGTTTGGTTACAACATAACCTTAGATGGAAGGCCCATGTAGCCTATGTTACAAATAGAGCCAAAGCTATCTCCTTGGCGATCTTGCGATTCTTCTTCACCGATGGGGCTCTTCATATCCCATCGGCGTTGAAAGTCTTCAAGGCCAAGGTGATCCCGACAATTGCCTATGCCATCTCAATTTGGGGGACTTTTGTCAATCTATCTCACCTAGAGGTTATTCAAAATCAGTTTTTAAGAGGGATATTGAAACTGCCCAACTGTGTAAGTAATACAGCGTTACGCATGGAACTTAATACTGTATCCCTGGAAAACGCTCTGTGGAAGCACATACTTTGTCACTGGTTATCTCTATGGCACAATCTCCCAAACTTGTACTTGATACAATGTATGTGGAGAGATGATTTCCAGAGCCCATGGGTAAAAATTTACAGCTGAAAATAATGACAATGGGAATCTCCCC